GCAGTTGACTTTCCCAATGCTACATGTCATCTAATGTCCTGACTGCTCCTCCCGTTGGCATCGATTGTAGAACCAAGCAACGTGAATTCTTTGACAACACTGAACCCTACATGTGGGAATTGCTGGATTTGTGTGTCCTGCTGTGTATATTCTCCCCGACAAAATAAAGTAAATTCATTATTTTCAAAAAAGCACTCTCTGCAGACTCACAATAGACAGGTACACCCTCAACTTGGAGTCCCTGGGTGGTGCAAACAACGAATGCTTTTGGCTGCTAACCGGAAGGTCGGAAGTTCGAGTCCAGCAGAGGCACCTAGGAAGAAAGACGGGCAATCTGCTTCCACAAAATCCTCTGCTGAAAACCCGATGGAGCACACTTCTATCTGCCACACGTGGGGTTGCTGTGAGTTAGGGCTGACTCAGCGGCAACGGGTTTTTCGGGTGTTGTGTCCTTTCTGTCCACATCCCCGCTCTACTCGGGCACCCTGCTCCCTCTTTCTCCATTGCAAGCTTTCCCTGAAGCACCTGGTGCCCTTCCTCCAGCCTCCCAGCAGGTTCCTCCTGCATTCCATTCCTCCAAAGGGGAGTTCCCTGGGAGACCAGAGAAGCTGGGATTTCCCTGGATCTGGGCCCAGCCTGGCCAAGTCCCCGCCCAGCGCTGGCAGGGGCGGGAGCCCGGAGCCTGGATGGCTGACAGAGTGGCGGAAACTCCCCTGTAACCTGTCGCTCTGTCTCCTGACCCAGTTGGGGCATCCACTGGATACGGAGAACCTGGGCAAACGCCCGGCCGCTGGCCATGGCCTCGGCCCTGAGCCCACCTCGAGCCCCCAAGGCCAAGGGCATCCCGCCTTCGCACTACTACGAGGGCTTTCTGGAGAAGAAGGGGCCCAGAGACCAGGTAAGACAGGTGGTGGGGAGCCCAGCACTGCTAGATGCCTCGCTAAGCCCCAATCTCCCTATCTGGCCAAGGTCGGGGGCCGGACGAGCTGTGGGCTGGGGGCTGGACAGGGTTCTGTCCCTCTGTCTGTCTCCATCTGTCTCTCTTAGATGTCTCTCTGTCAATCATTTGTGTCTGTTTCTGTCTCTCTTTTTCTCTGTCTCTATCTCAATCATTTATCTCTATCTGCTACATGTGGAGTTGCTGTGAGTCAGTTAGTCTCTTTGTCTCTGTGTCTCTGTCTCATTTATGTCTGTCTCTGTCTTTGTCTTTGTCTTTGTCTCTGTGTTTTTATCTTTCTCTCTGTTTTGGGCTCTCTTTGTGTCTCAGACACAAACAAGACCAGGAACTTCCTCCAGGAAACTGGGAGCTCTAGAGTCCCGTGCCTCCTCCCATTCCGTCCCAGCCCAGAACTGAGTCCAGAACTGAGTCCATGAACCGTAGCCACAGGGTCAAGGCCGGGGCAGGCTATATGGGGACAGTGAGCCCTGACGGGGCACATTCAGGAGGACCAGAAACTGACCCTGGGACCCATTCCCCTCCCCGCTCTCCCATAGTCATCTTCTGACACAGCCTAAAGAGATTACTCCCTGCTCTTCCCTGCCTACCTCCTTGCCTTCCCCATTGCAATTCCCTCCACCCACAATGCTGTTTCCTCTGCTTCCATACCTGTGAATCCTCCCCAACCATCAAAGCATCACAGTAGTTAAAAAAGATCATAGCCCCCAAGTTTAGAAGACCCAGGTTCAAATCCCTGATCATCACTCTCTTCACGCCAAGCCTTTATACAAGTGAAGCTAATGCTTTGAGCCTCAATTTCCTCTATTACGAAATGGGTAGAACAGGGCTGTAGCCACAGTTACAGGACGGGGTGGCCTGACTCAGCAAATACCAACACTTTACAGTGTGGACTGTCTAATTCTTTTTCCTGACATCGCTGAAGTTGTTGGTAATTGATTAATAAGTTGGTAATAATGGTACCGTTTGTATCACTATTTTCAGTTAGGGGAACTGAGGCACAGAGAGCTTAAATAACTTGCCTGATGGCACACAGCTCATATATGATGAGCCACATGTTTAACTACACTGAGTTCAATCAGTGATCGCTTGACTCCCAGTGCCTGGAATAGCGCCCAGAGCTCTGGTGGCAGAGTGGATAAGGCATTTGGCTGCTAACCAGAAGGTCATCGGTTCAAAGCCACCAGCTGCTCCACGGAAGGAGGATGGGGCGATCTACTACCATATTTACAGCCTTTGGTTTGGAACAGTCCCCAGCACACAGTACCAAAGCAAACCAAACTCACTGCCATCGAGTCAATTCCAACTCATAGCGACCCCCATTGGGTTTCCAAAGTAGTAAATCTTTACAGAAGTCCATTGCCCCATCTTCCTTCCTTGGAGCACCTGGTATGAACCACCAACCTTCTGGTTAGCAGTCTAATAATGCCCTAGGCACTGCACCACCAGAGCTCCTCACAGTAGGCCCTCACTAAATATTTGTTAAATGTGTGTATGGATGGACGGACAGATGGATGGGTTATGAACAGAAGGATGGTGGGTGGATGTGTGAATGGATGGATGGATGGATGGATGGGT